ACGTACCTTTATATCAAACAACTGAAAAACATAATAGCTATATAAATGAAGAAAATTGTTTTTAATTAAACAATGTTTTAGAAATTAAACATGTTTTCAAAAACAAGACCAAATCTCTTATATGGCAAATAAGGGCTCTATACATACTCGGAAAGTGTAAACTTGACATTTATTATCAGATTCTTCTAGTTTATAGATTTATCTATTTCATTTGAGTGAATCCTATAACCAACTAAAGCCAAAGATTTTTTTTCTTCAGGGTTGTAGAGTAAGGATTGGAAAGCTCATAGTTCCCCACTTAGTCAAACTCAGCCGTACATAAATATTTTGTGCAAATATAATCTCGGATCAGCTAATTTTAATAAAATACGTAACTGAAATTTAATCATTGCCGGATCAACATACAGACCTTGGTCCTCTATGTATAGACGTCAACCTCTCAGTTCTTTTGGCATGCAATAATGAGAATGTAGAATGCGTTACCACGTAGATATCAATACGGGAATTGGCTAACCACCCTCAAAGCGAGAGCATGTAACTTAAAGACGTATTTTGAGAGACGTTATGCAGTTGACTGTAAAAGAACTGGAATTGTTTATCTTTTCTTACAGACTAGGAATTTCCCCGTGAAATAATAAGCTACGTGACTGAACGGTTCTTCAATTAGCGGTTTAAATTAAAAGTGAATAATATTGACTGTTTTAATTAGCTCTTTTCTTCCAGTCCTCGAATTGTTGAAAGTGTTAGTAAACACTACTTTTATTCCTAGCACGATCTCCATTCGATTGCCCTTCGGTGCACATCCGGAAAAAGGAATTTCTGGCGGACCCAGAGAAGGGCCAGAGGAGTTGGGACTCCCAATTTTATGTTTAAAGTACTGATTACCCCTGAATGGTCTGATGAATTGTTGCATACAGCTTCCTTCAACTGTGGGGTTTGATCAATTTGGCGGACGAATGATTGTTACGAGTAGTTCACATGTCTTTTAATAATGTATAAGAAACAAATGTGTAACGGCACGGAAGGATGGAAATTATTGGGTCGGTTATTTAAACGAAGTCTAAATTAGGCAGCGCTTTAGCAACTCTTTCGACCCCCAAATTTCTTCCTTAGCTGGAAGTAATGTTAAGAAAATGTTTGTATCTGTAGTCTGCGCCTATATAATTTCATAAAACTTTTCACTATAAAAGCGTTGGCCAGCAAACTAAAAATGGCTTAGGACGCGGTTTTGTCAAACAATGGCTAAACTCCGTTTAAATAACTGGCCCATTGACTTGGTGCGCAAATTGGAAACCCCTGCAAGAGCAAAAATATCTGGATCCGCCCCATAGTATTTTAATATAATGAACCTTACCTTCCGAGATCCAGAAATATATAAATCAAAAATGACAGACCTGGCCCGGCCCTGTCGTAGTATGGGATAAAGCTTTAATCCACAGTTAGCGCCAACATGAGATCGTTGAACAGTTAGGCTCTTAGGCTATAACAATGAGCCTCTTAATTCAAAACTGAAGCGAACTTTCAATAACAGAACCGAACGCAAACTGTCAGAATTAAAGACCAATTCAGGTAACAGATCTTACGTAAGGATCTTGTGAGAAAGTTTGTTTGGAATAAATTCTACAAAGTTGATTTTATTCTTTAATCGATAAGTTCATTCTACAAATTCTAACTTCTCATGATTTTTTCCGGTTATAACTTTTTTGTTAAGCGTTAACAGATCAACAGTTCGGTGGCCCCCGAATCCCCTAGCATTTTTAATTCTACTCCACCCATGCATGCATAGACAAATTAAGCATATTTGGCTGGACTTCAATTCATTAGCTATATGTAGTGACCCTGAATGCATAATCAACTTGCTCCCCATTGGCTAATTTTTCTTCTTGTGCCTGATTACCTTTTGGTTTCTTTGATTTGGTTTTGCAGACACTAGCAAAGTGATCGTTCTTTTTTATTTTTTTACATGTTTCAACTCTAGCAGGGCGCTTTGGATCCTTGCCTACGCGCAGACGTCTCCTATTTCCTTTGTACATGTTGAGCATCTATTTGAGCGCGGAAAACGTGTGTTCCTCTTTGGTTACTATTCTGGTCTTGTCTCCAAGACTACACTAAATGAAACTGACAAGATAATAACGAATTGTTTTGCTTGTATTTGTGTGTGTGTGTTTATATAAGCCAAAAAAACTGACAAAAATTCTTTAAATGTAAGTCTTTAAAAGATAGCAAACGTCAAGACCTTAAAAGGTTGGATTGGTGTTTGAGTTTCCAAATTGTGGTCCCAATTGCCTCAACCAAAAATGGCTCAAATGTTTTACGACTAAAATATTTGAGGTGTTCAGTATCCTGGGTGTTTAAGTGAGCGTGGGCGCATATGGGCTCGTCCGCTTTGCCTGGCTGGCCCCATTACCAAAGGTACTCAGCTTTCTGCCCAGTATTACGTGAGGTGAGCGAGCCAAGGATGACCGCTATGGCGAGAACATTCGCCCCATGTAAGGGAATCCGGATTCCGGAATCAGGAATTTTTTGCTCGTGGAATCCGGAATCCTGGGCTTTGGAATCCGGAATCCAGCACTAAGAATCCGGAATCCTACTAAAAATTGGAATCCGGAATCCAACTTACCAAAGATCCACTCCAGATTAAATTAAGCTACTCGCTCGTAAGAAAAACCATCCGTGTGGGAGAACTGAATGCGTGACGAACGAACCCCAAAGGACGTCTGCGGGGAGGCTAGTCTGTGAAAGCCTCCCGAGGGTATAGACCTGAACGTGACGACATAATATCGGCATGTCTGGTGTCAAAACAATAGTTCACGAGCTCCATTTAAAAGGTCGAGGTCACGACCACATGATTAAAATTCTATAATTAGCGAGGGAACCCTTGCTTATGAGCGGCTGGGAGGATCACAAAATTGGGGGGTTTCAAGGGAACACAGCGCAGCCTTTTTAAGGTTTAAATTGAACTGTTAGAAATAACTTCCACCTATGGCTATGTTTGATTCTCTGTTGTTCACTCGCTTCGCTGAACTTTAAAAAATCAAAAGCGATTTTATGCGAGCTTTTTGACCTGGCATAGGACAGGAAAGGTGCACCTGGGGTGAACCTTTTCTTGAACGTTCCTGGTCCTCCTGGTTCACAAATGAAAATAAACGTCTACGTTCAACAGTTTACCTAAAAAGAAAAAAGTGCCTAATTTGGTCCTAGTAGTTTCGCTGAGAACAGTTTCATGGTTTCGATAATCTTTATTTGAGACTGATAAGCCAGGAACTGTCAGAACCGTACCAATCAGTTGTCACTAAAGTAATCACGTGCAAGGACGTGGTGGGTGCCTTTTTCGTTCATCCCCCGGCATTCGAGTGAAATCTCGCCACCTCTTCGATCAGACCAGTTTGAAGTTTGTTGTTTGTTGGATTTTTCTTTTCCACTGTTATTGGAAAGTACAAGCAAAAACAAAAGGCTGAGAGAGAAAGGTACCTGTAATACTGTGTTGTGAAATTTCATACCAATTTTTAGCTGACTGCGATAGATCTAAACGTGCCAAAGGAAAAGCTGCATGATTATTCGTTTGTGTCGATCTGTGGACTGTACTGAACGTGGCGGCAAGCAAGTCACAATCATGAACAAAAGAAACGTTAACTTTATAGTTTTAAGCGCTTAATAATTTTTTTCTCAATCATAATTGAATGTACTATAAATTTTAGGTCGTCCTTGGGGAAAATATCGTATACAATTGTTAAACGCTTAAAACGAGCCAACGTGTCAGAAACGCGCAAGTCTCTCTCGATCTCTCAGTCATCTCAGACTCGACCAAGGATCAGATGGACTTTTCATGTTTTCTGGTTCTACAGTTGTGATTAGGCCTCGTTCATATTGAGGTCGCTTTTGGAAATTAGACCGATCTGGATCGGTTTAGCCCGTTTTTCTTTGAAATGGATCCTCGAGCCACCTAGAACGCGCTAATATGAAATAAAACTCGCGGGGGATTTCATAATCCCACACTCAGATCTCTTACTTATTGATGAAGCCAAAGGCGAGATCTGGTCAAATCCGATTTTGTACCCGTGATTGCCTGTCAGGAATGTGACAAGCCATGAAAGAGCGTATGCTTGAAATTAATGCTGAATTTTTGACGTGTTAAACAACGAATTTGATAGAGCCGTGGAGTTTTTTCTATCAAAACGTGGTTATGCGCACATCTTAAGTATGAACCAACTAATTGTTGTGTTCTTTTTTATCTTTTTAACATCAAATTCAACGCGACAACTAGGGCCAGATCTCAGGGTCGTAACATAGTATATCCGGGACCCATTGATCCCTATTTTCTTGCCGTTATTTTGATCCCTGAGCCCCATTTTCCCAAAATTTTGATCCCTGAGCCCTGATAAAAAAATTGATCCCATCCATGTTTTACACAAAATTTTAACTTAGACAACTTTGTTTATCTCCAAATATAGAATATAGAACATGCTCAAATGGGCTGGTGAGAAAAACATTAACTTTGATTTTTAGTGCAAGTTGTATAGGTTCTATCAGAGCTATAAAGATCAATATGAGTAAACCTCTTTTTGTGCATATTATTCTATTTAAAACACTTTAAATATGTTTGGCGATACTATGCAAATGATAAAACCTGATTTTCTTGAACGGGAGCTTTAGTAAGATACAGAATGTAAGTTGTTGTTAATTTATACATCAAAAGTAGTCCACTTCCCTTTAAACTTCGTACATCTTGTAAGATCTTGCGGCGGAAACTTGATTTTTTCAGATGTAACGTTCATCAAGAGTATTTACAAGGTTTATTTTCAGTGTTGCTCATAGGAGCAAGGCCACCCGGAGGTTTATAAGCCAATCACAAGAAAGCATTGGATACAAAGTTCGAAAAAATACATTGTTAGTCAAACAGCAAACACAGCTACCGCTGGTTGGTCCCCGGTTGAATTAACGTCACTGTAAGGTATTTCTGAACTAAGGTCTTCCTCTAGCTTTCCAATTCCTATCCCGTA